GTGTGTGTGTGTGTGTGTTTTTTATATGTATGAAAAGAAGAGAAGAATGTTTAGGAACATGTATTCGAATTTTTTTATTATTCACAGAATTAGGATAAAGTCATTAAAACATTTCTTCAGTTTTTATGCAGTTACAAAAACACTTATTGAAATAAGGCACAAATACAGCAGAGAAAGATCTTTATATATCGTTTGTAATTTTTTATATATTTTGCGCGCGCAATCACAGTAATTTCTTATAAAGCAATTCATTAATTGTCGTTGTTTACAATTGTAATAATGTATAAAGTAACAGACTCAGAATTTATAATAGTGTATATTAATATCCCTTAAATAATTTTAGAAATGTGAATAATTCTGATATACCCTTCACCGAAAATTATTATAAAATAATTCGACATAATCTTTTTTTAAGACATAATTTGATACGTATATCAATAAAATTAGTATAATTAATCGTAAGTCTATTTTTTTATAGATCATAATCGAAGATAAATTATAGATTGTCACAATACTAATATTTTCGTTAATAGAAACTTTCAGTATTGCTTAATGTTAGTTACTTCCCTTACATTTCATTTAAACATTTCACATTTAAACATTACATAAGTATATATGCATATTAAAGTGCTTAAAGTACATATAACAAAAGTTCATTAGAGTTTCGATATCTTTTCCGGTTTTATTTTATTAGTGACAAGAGAATTGATATAATATTAATATCTGTGCACCGAAATAAATTAATATTGAACAGCAGATGAATCTATTCAATATTATCAATGTGTTGCGCAAGCGATATTACAGTAGTCATTTCATTATGATAAAAACTATTCATCTCATTTTTTTTATGCTCAAGTCATTAATAATCAAGTCTCATTTTTGCATATATATTAGTATAAATGCAACAGCACAAAGAAATGAATAAATTCTAGAGAAGTCAAAAGTCACATGGAAGAACGCAGAGTCGATGCATGTATCTCGAATGTAGATTAATATTGCCGTGCTTATTGCAAAGACAATTTTGATAAGGCACGTTTTACTCTTTTCGTTAAATGCGATATGCTTTTTTTGTTCAACGATTATTTGCAAAGATAGCACGATATAGGCAATGAAGATGAAATAAAGAGATCAATATAAAGGAAGAACTGATATCATCTATTGTTTCAATCGACACGATTTTTGAAGATCTCAAAGAGAATCAAGATAGATTTTGAAAGGAGAATTTGAAAGGAATACTTAATAAATACTTAACAAATATGTAAAAACATTATATGGATTAAATAAAAAATATATAAGCGCGATCAAATTTATTTAGTGTGCAATTGAATTTTCTATTTTGAATTAATTCACGATTGTTAATATCTAATAATTATATTTCAAAAATATTTATATAAAAAACGAAATGTTAATTTATATGTCAGTAGCAAACTTAATATTATAATATTCTCTTTTAGCGCTTTAAAAAATATCATAATTGAATTTTTTTTTAAATCACTAAACAATTTCATATTATGCTATATGTACGACATATAAATCCCGACAAAATAGACATTAATAGGGTGTCTCAGAATTTACGTACGTAGAATGCACAGTGTGATATCTCAACTATTATTTAAGATGCAATTCTTCCAGAGAAAAAAATTTGCTACTTTCGGCACAAAGAATAAGACACCCTATATACAACAATCCATATTATAACAATCCATATTATAATAATTAACTTTGCGCACTTTCATAAAATTTATGAAAATTTTAGAAAATATTTACAAAAATTATTTATATAACAACAATGAGAGAGTATACGTTTATATAAGAATAAAGGAACACGTAACAAAATATTTTCCATTGAAAATGAAAACATATGCTCTTCTCGATCAAACGATAAATATTTCATAATTAAAAATGATCATTATATCCGCGATTATCATAATTATTTATGTCTATATGGTTCATATGACGAATGTTGATATGAATTTTTTAAGAAACGATCCCACAAGTTATCAGAACGATTATCGCTCATGTTTAGCGGAACAGAATATTTAGAATTCCAATCACGATGGAAGATATTTTCCAGCTGTTGTCTTATATTGTCATTATTCTCATTTCCAACACTTTCAAACACGGTACCGATACCTATATATATTATAAAAATAACATATTTTTAATATATTTAATATATTTAAAAAAAGAAAAAGAAAAAATTTTTATGTTTTAAATAATTTATAAAAATAATATTTAAATTTTATTGTTACTTTAACTTATAAAATAGGACTACTATTACTTTATTTCCATGAAAAGTATTTATAACTTACCAGCCGTGTCAATAAAGTAATCACCCGACCAATTACTTGTTCCAATATAAGCTGTTATATCGGTGACCATGTATTTATTATGATTTACTCTCGCATATGGTATTTTGTCCAAGATTGAATTAGTCGGTACAATAAACCTTTTCTGTAAAAAATTCGACAAATAAACATTCTTCAGTAAAAAACGCATGTATTTATAACTGAGAGAAATACTTACCACTTCGATTTTAACGTTAGGATAACTGTGCGTCAAGTCTTGCAGTGATTTAAGAAAGTATGATTCGGACGGTCTCGAATGTTTCCACAAAGAGATCAAAAGACGCACTTCTACTTTACGCTCGATCGCCGCCGCCCTCAGAGCATTGTCTATTATAGGCCAATATCTGCAAATATAGACATAAAATAATTATTAAATTATTAGGACATAAAACAATATTGTATATGTTATATAAATAGTTTCTTAGTACTTTTATATCTGTTATATACAATTATTTGTTATACTTACTTTATTTGTGCAGTATATATAGTTAATGGGAAATAATCCATCACAGAGATATAAATAAACTTTTCCGCCTTAGCAATACAATGCACAATCGCATCTAGGTCGTTGCTTCTACCTTTCGGTGAAAATGGCGGAGGTGAACTCTATAACATTTTATATATATACATATACTGTCTACAATTAGAATATAAAAATAATGATCGTGATGTTAATTGATAATCAAAATTTAGTACTAACCGCAATAAATAATTTGTACTTATTATCCATATATGTAAAATTCAAAGGATTATTTATATTTATTTTTGTGCTAAGGGAATCTGGCCATGTGGAAGGCACTTTACCATCTTCGCTTAACTTCCAATATACCTGCAAAAATAATGAAAAGAATCAATACTAATTGTACAATATTTCATTCCAAAAATAACGAATACAACTCAAATATATTATACCTTTTAATAAATTTAGTTTACTACTTACATCGAATATTTTGGCGTAATCGTTCGCTAAGCAGGAACAATTTAAGACTATCAAACCGAGTTCCTTCACTTGCGAAAGAGATCTCCAATCCATATTCGCTGAGCCTACATATACGTGAGTACGATCGATGAGCCACAATTTTGTGTGGAGTACACCACCGTTCAACAACGCAGCGAAATTTAAGTTTCTCACCTGAATTCAAATAAAAATACACATCGTCTTCAGAATTACACACGATAAAGATAATAAAAATGTATCATATTGTGTATATTGAATTTTAACAAATAAATAAATGTTAATAAAAATTAGTAAAATCATTGATAAAATCATAGTACGGCAATTTGTATATAAATAATGCTGTATTACCGCTTAATCTATTAACGATTATCTAGATAATATAAAAAGTTGACACTATAATATTACCTGTGCATTAGCCTTTTTAGCCAAAATTTGCGTATCGACATTTGGAGACAAGCGCGAAGGAAGATTCTGTGCAATTTTTAGCGTAATGTGTCTATCTCTTCCGGCTTTTAACAACGACTCGAACACTTCTTCCCCCTATAATAAGAAAATTTATCAAACTAAATAACATCAACAGTTCGGTATATTTCATAATGTTATCAGATCATTCACTACTTACATTCTTAGCACTGCTATCGGGAACTACATCTTCCCCTTTCATTGTCCAATATAACGATGCGATTTCAATTGTGTCTTGTGCCATTTCAATAAGATCTATCCAAGACTCGTAGATTGTTTCGTGCCGCGCCGTATTATTGCTATAATTCAAGCCCACGGGTATAGTTTCCACGAGGGATATACTACAATGATCCATGCACATCATTTCTGAATCTATCATGGTGACATTTAGCTTGTCCGTCGCATGATCTAACAGCGGCAAGAGTACGACCAGAACAATTAAAATCAGTATGATCGTTATCGGTATACAACTGGGTCTGCACCAACTCTGAGCGCCCCACCTTCAACGGAAAATATTATATGCCTTTACTACGCAATCTTGTTGTGATAACAAAATTCTTATATGTAACTTATAAACTTATAAACCTATATGTATAATGGTTCTTATATGTAAACCTTCGAACATTAAGTAACTGTTCTTATTCTAGTTTTATAAGAAATTCATAAGAAATAATTACACAAGAAAACAAGAGTGAGTAGTAAGTTCTGTTTGGTAGAAATAATAATTTATACCAACAGTATAGATGAAAGAAGAGCGACACTGTTTAAGTAATTTTCACGAAGCAATAAGCAATTTTTATATTATTTCCTGAAACCTACTATCGTAAATTTTCTTCTTTTTTTGTGATGTTTAAATTTTAAAATTTAAAACCTGTACTTTGCATTCGTGAGAGGATCGTCCATGTCGCTTCTCAGCATAAATCCGGACTGGTCCCATAACTCAAGATCGTCGTCACCTCCCGGAGAGTTCACGTCCAGCCGTGCGTTTTCAGACACGGTCTGCAACAGAGAATATTACTTTTAAGTAATAATATTGCACGTACATCGTGTAATGCTGCTGCGCAACAACGCTGAACAAACTAATAGCTAATTACTATACTTACATGTTCTCGGACGATTCCATACGAAAAGGAATCATATGTTTCGTTGATTCCTATCACAATCTTTAGCCTTTGATTAATGACAATCACGTGAACTTGAATCTTATCTCATTAATATGAAAAAAGAAGTGCGCGGATTTTGCAATCTGTTCAGACGGACGTGATCCGTGACGAGAAATATAATACGCTCGTGATTCATTAGGAAAATCAGCGAATTCATAGATTAATCCGGATTTTTCCCTGACGAAAACAAGGAAATATCGAGAAGAAATTTTTATTGCAAGATTTTTATACTGCCCTTTTGTACGATTTAGAACGAGATTAAAATAAATCGCGAACGATTCGTTTCGACTGTAAAAATCAATGTTAATAAAATTGATAGTAAAATTGAGTGAGGGCCTCAAATTACTGAATTTGATGTGTTTGGTTTTGCAGCATTCGCACGGCGACGATATGAATTTTAGACGCTCGAGGGTACGCCCGAGGGTAGTGATAATACGAGGACCTACCGACAATTTGTGCTTGAGGCGCGGTGTTCTGTTCTTGCGATGCGGTAACAACACCAGCACATCCTGGTCCTTATCCCGAGGCTCCGCGTACTTCGGATACGCTTTGGCAGCGGTCGCCCTTTTCGTCGATGACGACGTCGTCGGAGCGGTGGAGCCGCCGGCCGTGGAATACTTTGAATACGCGATGTTGTTCACATTATTGCTACCCCCGTAAGAAACGTTGTGCGTATTGTTCACCTTGAGAGACGGAAAAGAAAGACAATTTATTTTTGTCACAGACTTCGCCTGTCCGATTAATTACCCGATTATAAGAGAAAAAAAAAAAAATTAAGAACAATTCTACTACTTTACGTGGTATAATTTTTAAATTTAACCAACATCTTTATTGTAAATTGCGGAATTTCATGTCTTTAAAAAATTAATTTTTTTCGAATTTTTGTAAAGGATAAAATCGAGAAATAGATTTGTAATAATCTTTCGTAACATGATTTCATACATCTTGATACTTCGACTATCACGCAATGAGAGTATAATTAATCAAGTTCTTATTTTTGAAGGTTAAAAAACGGAAGATTCCTCTTGAAGAACTAGGAATGCATGAGAAATAAAGAACATCCGTACATCAGAATCGATTAAGATTGCGATGCATGCTGCATTATACTTATTAATTCGAACGTTATGTTTACATTGTGGATTATTGTATTTTATAATTTATAAATTACATAAATCAGACATTAAAAAAACACATGCTACACAATTTTGCCGGAAATATACAAAAGATGCAAATTGTATTTTGCTCTTTTTATGCAACACTGCATGATGTAATGTGTCAAAGATAAAATATGAAGCATACTCATTGTCTGTTTTTCAGCAAACTTTAATATTCTTGTTAACACTAGAAATGATTGCAGTATTACTTTTAATACTATCTTCAGTATCGTTTTCTGCATTCGTATGCATTTACAAATCACAAAAGAATAAAAGATTATATGATTTCATATCAAAGATAAAATGCATATCAAGCACATTCATTGTCAGCTTTATCAGCAAGTTTTAGCATTCTTGTTTATACTATAATATATGGTGGCGGCATTATTTTTGATATTATTTTCAATGCTATTTCAGTATTATTATTTTTCCCACATCCTGGACAATAATATTTCAAGAAATAAGGATAATAAAACAAATAAGTAATAATATCTTAAATATTGTCTTCGATATTATTTCGAATTTCTCATTCCATGTCGGATAGCATGTCATCAAGTAGTATTTAGTATCTCATATCGATATTTTGAACCGAAATCTGTTCTTCAAAAATTTTCGACGGTACAGCAAAACATCTCTCGCAAGCATCTCCGCGCGGAGATCGACTCACTTGCACCAGGATGTGACAGGCCTGCGATGCGATTTGGAACAGGCCATCCTGCAAATTACGACCGGTGTGCTCGGAACCCCCGCTGCCCCCGCCACCCATTTTCCGTCCGAACAACGGCATTTCGCTTGCGTCCGATGCACCCGCAACGGTCGTCTTCTAATGCGTCAAGGTCGTGGCGAACGACTCGTCGCCAATCGAACTCGCATGCACGCGGAGGCCGTCGCCGACGGCGTCATTTCCGTTGTCCGACTTTTGCACCATGTTTGACATCCACATCGATATCTGCCGGCAGACAAGAACAAGAGAAATGTCATCCGTTTCTACGCCGTCCGCGCGCCGGTTGTACGTACAACGTGTGTGTACGTGCGGCGCGGCATCGATTTCCGGCCGCGCGTTTAAAATTTAACGCGAGCAAGGGTCGAGATCAGACGTAATCAAAGTTCCGCAATGCTCTTACGCCGGCAATAAAGTATATGTACGGCGATTCCCTCTATTTTTATTGTTCGTTACCTTGTAAAGTTAGAACCGATTTAGAACGGCGGAAGAGATGGCGAAAAATGAAACGACAGTTTCCCCGCGCGTGCTTTTGTTTTATTTGCAGCGTGAATATAACGAATATCTGTTCTTTTTTTTCTTTTTTTAATTAAAACAAAAACTGGTGGCTTTGTGAAATGTGTAAATAACATGCTCGCGTACGCAATAAGAAAGAATAATTTAAAAAAAATATATATATATATATATATCTCTTAGTATGTTTTTCGAAAAATGTTGCAGTATGATGATATAAAAAAAATATATCTTTTCATTCATCAATATTACTCTAGAGATATCGTACATTTTCTAATGCTTTTGAATTGATAGATTTTTAGATTTCAATGGCCAAGAGAAAAAAAAATAATTTTTGTCGAACAGATCTTTAAAGTTTATACGGAAGTTTATTATTCCTTTGTTGGATCAGCCAGATTAGCGAGATTTTGCTGAAAGACTTCGCGCGTTTTCCGCCACTAATTTTCTTATCGTTAATCTCGACAAATCCCGACGCTAATCTCGAGAAATGGAACACTCCCGGATGCTTGATTTAATTAATCTCAATCCCGTTTCAGTCTTTCTGTCACGGAAATGAAATTGTCGTTCGAAAAAAGGAGGAAAGCTTACATCGCGACTATACGTATGCCAGCGAATGGACGTGATCGATAATAAAACAATTAGTGCCTCTTTGACTCATTCGTAATATTCCGATGACTCGTTTGTTGACTTTTAATTTGCAATTGCGTATCGAAACGCTGCGAACGCACACGCACGGTTATTTTTTATTCTACTTTTTTTTTTCCTATTTTGTCAAGATCGATCCGATCTCGGTCTCCACCGAGACGGCAACTCACATCGAAAGGAATAACAAACGTCTTTTACAACTGAGAAAAAAACGATCGAAAAGTCTCGCATGCCGCGGCGAGCACCTGCGCAGAGAACGTCCTCGTGGCCTCGATAACACCCCCGATTGATAAAGGAATGCGATTAACCCATTTTCAATTTATATGCCGAGAGGAATGTAGACGTAGTTTTTATATTATTTTAAACAGGATTAAAATTTAGACAGTAAGTAAAATTGCTTAATTTTTTGGAAATCACCCTTGTAATTATATCAACAATTACCGCTATAAAATTAACGTTATAAAACTTAATATCTAATATTAATTAATATTTAAAATCAATATGAATAAAATATATTAAAAATTACGACAAAATATTTAAATTAACAACAATCTTTTCGTAACAACTTGCATTCTATATATAGATAAATGAAATTATAAAAAAATAACACTTGTATAATTGACGATATGATATGTTGTTCAAAATACTACATGATAAGGCTTAAAGCGATAATAAGATGCTTACGCTGTGCAACTGGTGATAACCTGTTAAACACAAAACAAAGGCAACGATAACTCCGTGCCTACAGTTTATCATTATATGCGTGCAGAATAATAAAATTATAAACAATATACTTTGCTGATCGTAGTCCGTGTTACAGATCAGCGATGTTCATTCAGTGTTTTCAAACGACAAAAAGCATCGCGATGGGACGGACGCGATCCCATATGTCGCGGATCGCGTGTGATCGGAGGCTGCGGCCGTCCCTGCGGCGTCCCATTCAAGCGCTTGTCCCGCGATTATCTCGAGAATATTAAATGTACCGATACGCACGATTATTATTAAACGCAGTATGCGTGGCGAGTGTCGTTTCGAGGGACACACACTCGCGCGTGTTACATCGATGCTTATTACCGAGCGCATCGATCGGTCGAGGAAACGGGGAATCCACGAGGAATCCGAGCGTGGCGCGAGCGAAGTGCGTGAGGACGACGACGGAGTAACGCAGAATAGATAATTACAACGGAAGAGAGAGAGAGAGAGAGAGAGAGAGAGAGAGAGAGAGAGAGAGAGAGAGAGAGACGAGGCGGGCACGAGGAGTCGGTCGAGCGATAAGAAAAGCGGAGAGGCGCGCGTCGCGAAACACTTTCGGTGGCGACTGCTCGTTCGATCTGTCATCGCGAAGGAAACGTCCGTGGCGTGCATGCGCGCGGAGCATCCTTCGGTCAGGTCGGCGCGAATAGTCCAGCGAAAGAGAGCGAAACATTTCGTCGATATACGCGACCCCTGGCTGGCTATCGATCACCGTCGAAGGTGCCGTTCCCGCCGTTTGTGTTGCATCCTCGCACGTGGTATCCTCGTGCCCGAGAGAATCCCGTTCTGATAACAAATCTTCCTTACGGGCTACTTTCCGACGATCGGAGCCGCCTTGCGTTATTCCTTTACTCTCCTCTTTTTTTCCGATTCCTCATTATTTTTTTATTTTTCTGCTCAATCGACGCGCAAACGTAAAATGTAAAATCACAAAAGATTGTTATTTATAACAAAAAAACAAAAGAGAAGAAATTATAAAAAAAACGTCAACGGTTTATATATCTTATCCAAAATAAATGTTTAAATAATGAGAGGTTCGGATTGAAATATCTTAATAGTGTTATAATATAAATATCATTTGAAACTAATACACTTTTGAGTAGAGATGAGAAATAAAACATTTTAGTGTCTTAAAGTTAAACATCATTTCATGAAGGTAGATGGCCTATTTACAATTTTTATTTATTACTGAGACATTGCGTTCAATAATTGAAAATGTTGATATTTATTTATTCTATATCTTATCGATAGATTCTCTTTTGAATTTTCAGATTGAATTCGCAACTTGCAAAAATCGCAGACATCAGTGCACGTGATATTTTTGATTTCCGGAAATTTTCAGAAACTCCGCCTTTTCTCCCTCTTTGTTTCTAATTTCCTCCTATTTTTTACTCCAGCTCTGACAGAGATTTTTTTTTAAATTGCCATAGACGATAGAGGCATTCCCTGCCTCGTCAAGCTGTGTGTCGAACACAATAGAAATACCATGAACACGGGATGAACTACGACGTAGTCGTTAGTTTTTCTCGCCCTATTTTCTATATTTTTTTACCATTTTTTTTCCCTCTCTTCTCTTTTTCCGCATAATATGTCTGGACACATATAGTCATTTCATTTCGAATAATGAATGTGAAAGCAAATATAGCTAAAAGGACTGACTCCGAAACGAGAAATTTGCACGAATATGTAGTAAGAGAAGTCTATTTTATGAGTTGAAACAATTAACATAGCTACATGTTCGACTTTTCCTTTTGTTAACATTTTTTTTTAAGAGTCTCTTTCACCTAAGCGGGGGGTTTTAGCTGTCCTTTGTTCGGTTCCGATAAAATTTGGCGCGCCGGAAAAACTAAATATCGGTCCCGTTTGCTGCTCTTGTTATGCCAAGGCATTTCCTCTATGTAGTAGAATTTATTCTCTTCGAGTCTTCTCTAATTTTTAATCGACTTCCGATCCCCGACCTCCCGGTAAGCTCTTTTAAATCTTTCGCGCCTCGTAAAAATGGAGGCCGCGCCATGTGCTTCTCGGTATTCTCTCTTTCTCGCTCTCTCTCTCTCTC